CACGTGACCCAGGTATAGTAGATCTACCAACTACACAGTTCACTATCACATTAAGTGACCCAGGTATAGTAGATCTACCAACTACACAGTTCACTATCTCTTTAAATGACCCAAGTATAGTAGATCTACCCACTACACAGTTCGCTATCCCTTTGCGTGACCCAGGAATAATTTATCTATCAACTACACAGTTCACTATCTCATTAAATGACCCAGGTATAGTAGATTTACCAACTACACAGTTCACTGTCCCTTTACGTGACCCAGGTATAGTAGATCTACTTACTACACACTTCACTGTCACATTATGGTAGAAATGCTGTTTACTTGACAGTTAGTTAATTAGTTAATTAGAAAACCAAGATGATCTCCCTTGTCCACAAAACTATATATTTTCGGAAAGCTTATTGTATGAATTTTACAATTTTGTTAGTATTTTTTTTTTGTATGGACACTGTAGTTTGAAATATGCACAATAATGTGCTTTTTGGTCAAAAGTGATTTAAAAAAATAGCTTCTAAACCATGCTTCTGTTTCCTGTCAAAATTGGTTTATGGATACATCTGTTTACTATGTAGAAAGTGCCGTCTTGAAAACTGTCTACCAGTTGTCGTTTTTGCAGGGCAAATTTCACTACTTCAAGTTTATGCATAATTTAAGACCCAAGGCTAGTTGTCTGTACGATTGTTGTAATTTAACACTGTTCAAATAAAAACAATGCCCCGACGGCGTTTTGAAGATAAACACATTGTCAATCATTTGTGAAAATTTCAAAACAAAAGGTCCAAGCGTCTAGGAGCTATTTTTTTATGTTCCGGGATGTGCACTAAAAAGAAGCTGAGATAATTACTAATTTGCATAACAATTCACTCAGTAAGAAGTTTGCTAATGCTCATAATTAAAATGGATGTAACAGTTCCAAATTTAAATGTATTATCGTTTTGTTAAAAGTTAAATATAGTGCATAATATGGAGATCCCGTCATTTCTTATTTTCACCATGTTCCTGTTTTAATATTTATGTACAGCCTTGCTAAATCTTGCTAAGCATTCAAAAGAGATACTGTTTGCAACCTGTTATCTTCATTTTGAAATCTTTTTTGAGTATGTTCCACTATTCACAATTCTACAAAATTTTAACAGTATATAGCCAAGACTGTTTGGATGATAAAAAGCAAAAAAAAAAAATCACTCCCAAGTGCACACAAACCTACATCTCTACCTTAAATGACTCAGGTATA